AAAAAAACTAAGTTGGGTTTATAAGTTCAATTGAAAAATTTAAAAACCCACTCAGTCACCTGCCATTAAAAGTTCAAGAAGAATTTGCTTGCAACCTTGTGCAAGGAGGGAAAGGATGATGCCACCTATCTGTTTTGTGGAAAAGAAAGGACGATGGGAACAAGAGGGAAGTGGATGTTGGTCCATTTAAGGTACATGACCCCACTTTGCAACCCAGGTCCTTTTAAAGTTGGAGGTATGGAGCCCTAAAACACCCCATTGTGATCTCCCAATTCAAGAGAAAAATTGGGCTGTGGTGGTGCAGTGGTTTAAATTGCTAGCTGCAGGAAATCTGCTGCCCAGAGGGTTAGAAGTTTGAAGCTGTGAGTTGGGGTGAGCTGTCAGCCATAGCTTCTGCCTACCTAGCAGTTTGAAAGCACGTAATGTGAGTAGATCAATAGGTACCACCTTGATGGGGAGGTAAAAGAGCACCCCATGCAGAATTGCAAGCAACATCAGAGAATGTCTATGGACAACAGGCTCCTTGGCATGGAAAAATGAAACAAGAGCATCTCCCCATGGCCAAAGTTGAGCATCACCTCCAGATGCTAGAGACAGAAAGGGGAAGGCCTTTACTTCTGTCTGTGTTTTGTATGTTGTGTAAAACTGTGTAAAAAGGCATTGAATGTTTGTCTTATATATGTAAAACTGTAATCCGCTCTGAGTCCCTCTGGGGAAATAAAACAGAATATAAATAAAGTGTATTATTATTATTATTACATGCTGAAGTATCAAATATTCTACCAAGATTTAATTCTTCATGTAAAAATAAACAAATGCACCTATCTCATAAGTATGTATGTTCACTTTCATCTTAAATAATTGGTAACGTTATATGTAAACCAAAGAGTTGTTTTAAAATAAATTTCTTTCAATAAAGATTTGCTTTCTATATCTATTTTATATACCTATATATCTGGGGTCATGTAAAAAAAAAGTTCAGGGGAAAAGGGGGTGCAAGTGGGAAAACGTTAAAGAGCTCTGGCCTCATCCACGCTTGTATTGTGCCTTCATCATGCCTCTCCACTTATGGTGACCTCATGAATTCTATAGGGCTTCCTTGGGAAAGGAATACTAGAGATAGCTTTGCTGGTTCCTTCCCCTTAAATAGAGACTAAAGCATCTAGTATTTGTTGGTGGTCTCCCATCCAAGTACCAACCAGGGCTGAGCCTGCTTAGCTTCCAAGATTCGATGGGACAGACTGGATGTGTTTCGATAATCTCCCAACTGAGATTAGCTTTGAGGAGAAAAGTATACTTTTAAAAGGCACAGCTTTTTTCTGCCAGAGATGGTGCCACCTTGTGGCATTATTCAAATAATTGCCAAAAACTTCAGTCTGAAGCACTGAATACACTTTTTAGGGAATATGACCAACGAAAATGCACAAAACTTCATCACAATGCCTTCACCACAAATTTGGTTGGCGGGGACAAGAGACAGGGCCTTCTCAGCGGTGGCCCCTCGGCTGTGGAACTCCCTCCCAAGAGATATCAGATTGGCCCCCACCCGCCTATAATTTTGCAAAAAAAGTTAAAACCTGGCTTTTTGAGTAAGCATTTCCAAATGCAGTGTAGCAGACAAACTCTAATCTACGAAATGACTGGACAAGGCGATGATTGGATAATTACTTATCTATCGTGTCAGGAGTGCTGCTACTAAGAGGTTGCAACGTACTTTATCTAAGTTGTTGTAAGGATCAATATTGTTTGTGCTATAACTTTAAGTTGCTGTAAGGTTCAAGGCTGTTTGTGCTACAGCTGTTTCAGTTAATTGAAGAGTTAATTGAGAGTGTTATTTTCATGTGTATAAAGATAGCTACTGTGTGTTTAGTTCTTTGCCATTGTGCGTTTATGCTATTGTGCATCTATGCCTCTGTGCCGTTCTGCTTTGTGTAAGCCGGGGACTATGCTGCAGATGTCCTGCGAAGACACAGCCATGAGAAGAGGACAAGGATTCCTGCTTATCTCAGCTGAGTAGTGATATCTCTCAGAAGATATTGTTTCATGTTACTTTTGTGGAAACAGTAATCCTGCTACTTTGTTTTTGTATGCTGCCAATACTACAATATTTTCTTTTCTACTTTAAGCCGAAGTCTCGTGTGTTTTTCTTTTATGAGTAATTTCATCACACACACAGTTAACTGGGCTAGAGTCAATCTGCATGCTACTCATGCTAACACATGACATCTTTGATTTTTGTATTGCATTAAAACCAAACAAACAAACAAACAAAACACAAAGTTTGCAGACTTGGTATTCTATTGGATAATGATTTTAGTAATGAGATGCTGAGGATTTATGTTTTTGTTGGTTTTTACTATTTATGCCAAATATTTTTAATTGTTTTTATGTTGTTGGGGGCATCGAATTGTGCCATTTGTAAACCGCCCTGAGTCGCCCTCGGGCTGAGAAAGGCGGTATATAAATATGGTAAATCAATCAATCAATAAATGTAGATGCTGTAATCTGCTCTGAGTCCTCTAGGGGAGAAGGGCGAAATATAAATAAAGTGTATGATAATTATTATTGCTTTTGAAATTTTGTTTTAGGGTGGAGTGGTGAACATTTTAAATCTGTGGTTGGCTGGATCCATGGAAACAGAATCCGTGGATACGGAGATCTGACTGTCTACAAAAATAAAAAGAACTGGGTTGTTGTAGGTTTTTCCAGGTTATATGGCTGTTCTGTCACCACCGGGCCTGTAGCTAGTTGACTTTTAAAGATAGGATGTGTAACCTTTGCCCAGGGGGAAGCCAGGGCCCAAGAAGTTCTCAGAGGTTTCCACTACAAAAGAATCTTCAGATGGCTATAGAAGTACAACAAAGTCTTTTATTAATGAAATCAAACAGGAACTTCAAGGTTTTCTTGATAAAGTATTGGTTCTCTCAATCTTATCCACAGGGGACAGGCACTATCTTCAATAACGTTTTCTTTAAAGGAAAATTCCCCTTTTTAACTTCTTCCAGGCTGACTGAAATCCAACCCCCTCTGATGTGTGCTCCGCTACCGGGCCGAACTGCTTCTCGGACGCTGATTGGACCTACCAGCAAGGCAGTGGATATTCTCCAGCTGGAGTTCTTTAGTCTTTAAGGCTGTTTTCCTGGAAATTCCCAAAGCTGTGGGAATGCTTCCCTGGAGTTCTTAGGAGACTCTTAAAGCTGTTCTCCTCTGGATTTCTTTCCCTTTCTGTTTCTGTTGGAATTTCTGTAACCCTGGAAATTCTTAAAGCTTGAAGCCTTTGTACAGGGGAAGTTACACACATCCTATACAAAAGCTAACCTGGCTGAGACTGACTAACAAAATGGCTCACTTCCCTTCCAAAGCCCAAAAAGGGGGCGGGACCAGGGAACCTAATGATAATTGACAAGCAATTGACCCAATAACTGCAAAGTAAGGAAAGCCATCTAACTGCAAAGGCATAGAACTTTAAAATACATGCAGTAATCAACAAATAGCAAGATAAGCTGGAGCTCCTGGTGCGGCTGTACCAGAACATCTTTAAAATAATAATAAATGAAAATCAACTAAAGCAGGGTTTCTCAACCTGGGGGTCGGGACCCCTGGAGGGGTCGCGAGGGGGTGTCAGAGGGGTCACCAAAGGCCATCAGAGAAACACAGTATTTTCTGTTGGTCATAAGGGTTCTTTGTGGGAAGTTTGCCCAATTCTATTGTTGGTAGGGTTCAGAATGCTCTTTGATTGTAGGTGAACTATAAATCCCAGCAACTACAACTCCCAAATGTCAGGGCCTGTTTCCTCCAAACTCCACCAGTGTTCACATTTGGGCATATTGAGTATTTGTGCAAAGTTTGGTCCAGATCCATCATTGTTTGAGTTCACGGTGCTCTCTGGATATAGGTGAGCTACAACTCCCAAACTCAAGTTCGATGCCCACCAAAGGCTTCCAATATTTTCTGTTGGTCATGGGAGTTCTGTGTGCCAAGTTTGGTTTGATTAGATCATTGTTGGAGGTTAGAATGCTCTTTGATTGTAGGTGAACTATAAATCCCAGCAACGACAACTCCCAAATGTCAGGGTCTGTTTACCCCAAACTCCACCAGTGTTCACTTTTGGGCATATTGAGTATTTGTGCGAAGGCGGTCTCGGCCGGGGTTGGCTTGACGCGCCTTCCTCTTGGCACGTTTCTCTTTTTCACCCTCCACTCGTGCCTCCTCAAATTCTGCAGCACTGCTGGTCACAGCTGACCTCCAGCTGGAGCGCTCAAGGGCCAGGGCTTCCCAGTTCTCAGTGTCTATGCCAGAGTTTTTAAGGTTGGCTTTGAGCCCATCTTTAAATCTCTTTTCCTGTCCACCACATTCCATTTTCCGTTCTTGAGTTCGGAGTAGAGCAACTGCTTTGGGAGACGGTGGTCGGGCATGCGGACAACATGGCCAGTCCAGCGGAGTTGTGGCGGAGGACCATCGCTTCAATGCTGGTGGTCTTTGCTTCTTCCAGCACGCTGACGTTTGTCCGCTTGTCTTCCCAAGAGATTTGCAGGATTTTCCGGAGGCAGCGCTGATGGAATCGTTCCAGGAGTTGCATGTGACGCCTGTAGACAGTCCACGTCTCACAGGCATAGAGCAGGGTTGGGAGGACAATAGCACCTTGGTATCCCTACGGATGACCCGGTCCTCAAACAATCAGGCACATCTAATCACCTCTCAACAAAAGATTCCCCCAGGCACTGTCAAGCCATCAAATGCTAATTAAGGTGGTCAGTTAAAACAATACAATAAAAAGAACATTTGAATCCCGATTATCTGGAGAAAAGAGATTCAAGACAGAGGGGGAGAAGACATTGAGTGTGTTCAAAGGGACAAAATACTAAAGGGACAAAATACTAAACTAAATAATCAAGCGTGCTAAGCTCCCATAGAACTGGCTACACTGTATCTCCGCTTTGAAACAGAGCGGAAGTGCTCATGGAGCGGAGGCGCTCTAGCTCAAGTTCCCTCCGAGCTCGTCTCTCCGAGAAAGGAAGTGAGTTCTGCCTGTGAGCCCACGTGGAGCACCTGGATTAGAGTCGGTAAGAATCAGGGCTGTTCATTCGATTAGGCTCAGAGCTTACTTAAGATTTTTTGCTTTTTAGGGGTGCATCTACACTTGGGATTTGAAGTTTGGTGAGACACCAGCTCTTAAGGTAGGCATGGACAAACTTGGGCCCTCCAGGTGTTTTGGACTTCAACTCCCACAATTCCTAACAGCCATAGGCTGTTAGGAATTGTGGGAGTTGAAGTCCAAAACACATAGAGGGCCCAAGTTTGCCCTGCATTCTCTAATCTTAATGCTGTATATACAATGGCATAGTTGCTTATATAAAATAGTAAAATCAGGGATCTTGCTTTTTAAATTATGTGTGTGTGTGTTGGTGCCATGTGTTGTTGTGGCCCAGTCTAGTGATCTGGAAAACAAAGTAATGAGAAAGTGTTGGTTTCTAATATATAACTAGCCGTCCCCTGCCACGCGTTGCTGTGGCCCACATGGGGGTTCTGTGTGGGAGGTTTGGCCCAATTCTATCATTGGTGGGGTTCAGAATGCTCTGTGATTGTAGGTGAACTATAAATCCCAGCAACTACAACTCCCAAATGTCAAGATTCTATTTTCCCCAAACTTCACCAGTGTTCACATTTGGGCATATTGAGTATTCGTGTAGAGTTTGGTCCAGATCCATCATTGTTTGAGTCCACAGTGATCTCTGGATGTAGGTGAACTACAACTCCAAAACCAAAGAACACTGCCCACCAAACCCTTCCAGTATTTTCTGTTGGTCATGGGAGAACTGTGTGCCAAGTTTGGTTCAATTCCATCAGTGGTTTTTGAGTTCTGTGAATATCACAAATGAACATTACATTTTTATTTATATAGATAATAATGTAATTTCTTTATGCTTCTGGGTAAATAGTATTTCTTGTTGTTTCTTTGCCAGTGTTGATGTGCAGATTGTCTGGTTTGCCTACTCTGGAACATGCAACATATAATTGTCCTTCTTTAGGGACCTTTTGAAAATCTGTAATATACATATGTCTCTGCGTGTATAGAATCATAGAATCATAGAGTTGGAAGAGACCTCATGGGCCATCCAGTCCAACCCCCTGCCAAGAAGCCTCTGCTTAATAGCTTCCAAAGAAGGAGCCTCCACCACACTCCGGGGCAGAGAGTTCCACTGCTGAACAGCTCTCACAGTCAGGAAGTTCTTCCTAATATTCAGATGTGGAACCCTAACCCTCAGCTCAAGAAGCTGGGGAAGCTGGATGGCTCTTTGTCAGGAGGGCTTTTATTATGTCTTGTTGCCCTGGTGAAGGTTGTTGGACTAGATGACCTTAACACAGCATTTCTCATCCTGGGGGTCGGGACCCTTGGGGGGGTCGTGAGGGGGCGTCAGAGTATTACATATTCCAGAATTATAATTAAAGGATGCTCAACCTATACATCTTCCCTCTCCTACAGTCTGTCTTCTCCTTGGTCATTATGGAACAGAATAGTTCCTGCTTTGAGTCAGAACTAGATTTCTGCCCCGAATGTGGTACAGTCCTTCCATTACCAGGTCTTCAGGATAAGGTGGCATGTCGCTTTTGCGCCTTCTTCATTGATGTGCAAGGTAAGGGCTTTCTGCCATTAGAATATTCTATAACCAGAGGTGGAGTATTTAGTAAACATGTATTTAAAAACAGGTGAGTTAGAGTACATACGCTTCTTATCTGCACATGTGTTTATTAACTTCACAGAATTTGAAAAGAGAGTTATTGATACATCAGTCACCTTCAACAGGACAGATACCACATCTTCGGAAGTGGATGGAGGAAAAGCAGTCAAAGGACCACTGGTGAGTGAATGGGGAGGTGAAATGAGTAATTATAAGGCTAATAATTTCATGTGTCTATAGCAAAACATATGAAATCCTATTTCCTTTTATCCAGGCTGGAGAACCTGTGGCCATTTAGACTGTAGTTTCCATCAGCCGTAGCCAGATTGATCAGTGATGATGGATGATAGAAGAAGTCTTTGATCAATATTTGGGGGTGCTAAAAGTTCCCCATTGTGCTTTATTCCAAAGGGAGAACAAGATGTGTCAAAAGGACTGGTGGTGTAGTGGCATGTAGGCTATGCTATTTGGGACAATTTTGCTATCCTTGCCCTATAGCTCAGTGTTTCTCAACCTAGGGGTCAGGACCCCTGGGGAGGTTGTGAAGAGGTATTAGAAGGGTTGCTAAAGACCACCAGAAATCACAGTATTTTCTGTTGGTCATAGGGGTTCTGTGTGGGAAATTTGGCCCAATTCTCTCATGTGTGGGGTTCAGAATGTTCTTTGATTGTAGGTGAACTATAAATCCCAGCAACTACAACTGCCAAATGTCAAGGTGTATTTCCCCAAACTCCACCAGTGTTCATATTTGGGCATATTGAGTATTCGTTCCAAGTTTGATGCAGATCCATCATTGTTTGAGTCCACAGTTCTCTCTGGATGTAGGTGAACTACAATTCCAAAACTCAAGGTCAATGTACACACACACACACACACACCAAAAGTTAAATAAGCCATCCAGTTGTGACCACTGATTTAAAAGTTTAAAAACCATTTATGAAACACAATGATATACCTCTATTAAAAGATTTTTATTTTATTTATTTTGTGTCAAAAGCATTGCATAAAATATTTTTCTAAAACTGATAAAATAAAGGGAACACAAACTGCTAGATAGTTTTAGACCAAAAATGGACAACAGCGATTGCATTGTCTGTAGCTTTAAAAGATTGTTCTGCAGGAAGCCTTAAAAGATTATTCTGCTGGAAGCCCGTTAACAGCTGAAAGTCTTGTCTAAGTAGGCAAGGAACAATAGACAGATCTATACTGTAGAGTGACTGCAGTTTGACACCACTTTAACAGCCATGGCTCAGTGCTATGGAATCCTGGGAGTTGTAGTGGGCTGAGGCACCAGCACTCTTTGGCAGAGAAGACTAAAGGCCTTGTACAGCTACAACTCCCAAGATTCTATAGCATTTAGCTAGGGTTGTTCAAGTGGTGTCAAAATGCATTTATTCTACAGTGTAGATGCACCCCACAGCTCTCATGGAAACAATAACTGAGACAGCCCACTTCCACAGAATTATCAAACTTTCTGCTGAGCATCTTAAAAGTCTGAGCAGACTTGGATAGAGAAATAGGGTATTTAAACCTTAGAGGAAATGCCTATAAATCACTATGCCAGGATGCTGCCACTCCAGCAGCTTCTTGGATGCTCATGAATTCCTCCTGCAGCTCTAATCTGTTGTAGTTCTCTCTTTTTTCCCCAGATTGATCGGAAGTGTCCCCAGTGTGGGCAGGAGGGCATGACATACCATACTCGGCAGATGAGGTCTGCAGACGAAGGGCAGACAGTCTTCTACACCTGCATCCGCTGCAAGTAAGAAATCATCAGTTGCTTGTTCATTTACTGTCTTTGTTCAGACGTTAAATTTTTTTTATTTAATATATTTTTTATTTTAGGACATACACATATACAAACACAACAGTTACAATTCTCACCACCACGAGGGTTATTTTCTTTCACATTTTAATCCTTTTGGAGACAAGTCTTCTAGATTTACATACTTTATAACACTTGTATTCGATTTCTTATAGCCTGATCTCTAGACTTGTTCATAATGTAATTCTTGACCTGGTTCCATCTTTCTTCAACTTCTTGTATTCTATTTTCATTACATTTTGAGTCATTTAATTTTACATCCATAATTTCAAATTCCATTTGGTCCACCATATACTGATACCATTTATTTACTGTCCACTTTGATTTGTCTTTCCATCGCAATACTATGACTGCTTGTGTGCACTCAGTTATTGCTTCCTTTATTTCCCTGTTATTTCCCATTCCCTCTCTTTGTACTAGGATTGCCATTTCTTTTGTTATAACCCAATCAGTCCCTAATATTTGGTTTGACACATTTTGTATTGTTTGCCAGAAACATCGTACCTGTTCACATTCCCAATTCATGTGCATAAACCGCCCTTTCTGTTGGCATCCATGCCAGCACTGACTGGTCTCCTTTTTATAATAATATGCTAATTGACAGGATGTACGATACTTTCTTCAGACTTTTGTTGTGCAGTACAAAATATATTAGCCTGTCAGCTTGGCTGGGCAGGCAGTCTCTGCTAGGAGGTAAAGGCTTCTGTTCTGGACCTCTCATTGGCTTTTCGTCCTTCTGAGTCACTGAGTCTGAGTTTTGGAGGCACTGTTTTAAGATGGCTCTAATTCAGGGATGGGCAAACTTCGGCCCTTCAGGTGTTTTGGACTTCAGCTCCCACAATTCCTAATAAGGGATGCTCAAATTGTATATGGAAGAAATATGCACCATTAATGTCAGTCAGGCTCTTGGAAAACACGTGTTTTGGAGAATTTATATCCTCCATGTTTAACAATGTCTACATGAAAGTGGGAAGAGGTTGATCACAATGTTGTTCTATATGTATGCCTTCAAGTTGCCTGTTGACTAATGGCGGTCCTATTAATTTCATAGAGTTTTCTTAAGCAAAGAGCACTCAGGGGTGTTGGTAAAATTGTTCTAATTATGCCAGTGATCCTATGGGTTTCTGGTTCAATGTCTCTGAATTTATGGGTCATTGGCAGGAGGCACTATGTTGATAATTAATTTTTGTTTTGTTTTAATTCCAGGTTCCAGGAGAAGGAAGATTCTTGATTGACTTCTGAAATGTAGTAAATGTGAAATGACTCACTTTCTAGTACATCTAGAAATAATCTTTCTAGTGTGGCTGTGGCATCATAATGCACTCAGTTGCTGTGGAAGTATCTTCTTGATGGATATGGATTATTTGTGGATGGCGTTTGGAGTTATCTGCAGTGGGACACACCAACAGCCACAGGTTTCAAATGATAGAAGATAAGTCAGGGAGATGGTCATGCCAGCCATCCAAAATCTTATGGCCTTATTCAGTTTCTGGCTCTCTTGTTTGGTCAGGGGAATGAAAGAAAAGTAATGCTAAATACATTGAAGACTAAGCATTTTGTTGCAGCCGTTATTCCCATATTGGGAAAAAGAAAAACAATATAAATTATATAAATAAATATTTGCAAGTTTTACTATTGCTAGTGGCATCTCTTATCTCCCAGAAGACTGTGCTCCCTCTGGCCTCCCTTCACTCTTCTGTCACTGCAAATGTGTGAGTTTCTTGGGTTTGGTGCTTGTGAAAAATCTTCAGTTATTTTTCTGGGCCATGTTACATCCTGTTGTTAATAATAATAACAACAACAACAACACCACCACCACCATTTATTACCTGCTTCTCCTTGTGGTTCAAAGCAGGGTGCAACACCATTAAACAAGAGATAAAACATTTTTTTTTTGTCGTGTCAGGAAAGACTTGAGAATCTGCAAGTCACTTCTGGTGTGAGAGAATTGGCTGTCTGCAAGAACGTTGCCCAGGGGACGCCCGGATGATTTGATGTTTTATCATCCTTGTGGGAGGCTTCTCTCATGTCTCCGCATGAGGAGCTGGAGCTGGTAGAGGGAGCTCATCCAGCTCTCCCCGGATTCGAACCTGCGACCTGTCGGTCTTCAGTCCTGCCGCCACAGGGGTTTAACCCACTGCGCCACCGGGGGCTCCAAAACACTATTAAAAGGCATACAACAAAGTCCAACAATACAACTTAAAAATCCATTGATAAAGTGCAGTTTAAAATTCACAACTTAAAATTGACTAGGTAGATCTCCCAGAAGAGTCTTCAATTGTGTCTTAAATTCTGACAGCTGATCTAATAGTCTTCTTAAAGTCTTAGTTAGAAGGAAGATCTGCATGAAAGTACAGAAGTAGGAGTGCTGTTTAATATTAAGAAAACAAAAATGTTATTTATTATTATCATTTATTTATATAGTATCCTCAGCGTACATGGCATTTTTACTAATAACAGCAACAAAGCAGTTCCGTTCTTGGGCTTGCAATCTAATTAAGACATGACACAAAAGGAAAAAGAGAACGGAAGTGAGGGAGGGAGTTAAATCCATCAGATAACTGCCTGCCTCCTCTTCTCTTCCTTCAAGGCCAGGGAAGTGGCAGTTGGGATGAATGTGGGGCCTTTCATCAGATGATTTATGTAACTTTATAGTGGACAATAGGGAGCTGCGGTGGTGCAATGGGTTAAGCCCTTGTGCCGGCTGAACTGCTGTCCTGAAGACCTGAAGGTCAGTGGTTTGAAGTGTGAGCTCCTGTCTGTCAGCCCCAGCCTCCCATGCGGGGATATGAGAGAAGCCTCCCATAGGATGGTAATACATCTGGGTGTCCTCTGGGCAACGTCTCTGTAGACAGCCGATTCTCTCACACCAGAAGCAACTTGCAGTATATTTTCAATTTGCTTCTGACACGATAAAATAAAATCCTTTTTAATTTTTTTTTTAAAGCAGATGATGACTTTCTGCACCTTCAGTCACAAATGGAGACTGGAGTAAAGAGTCCCTTTTGGGGTTGAGAAGGGTGGTATACAAATACCACAAATATAAATAAATAATAAAGTCGCCTTTGGTCTGAAAAGGGTGGGATGAAAGTGTGCTAAATAATTTATATAAATAAAAATGTAATGTTCGTTTGTGGGATTATCATAACTAAAAAACCACTGGGCGAATTGAAACCAAATTTGGACACAATACACCTATCAGGCCAACGAATGACCATGACTCATAAAAACACTGAAAAACACAGCTTAAAAGCCAAAAAATAAAAATACATTACAACGCATTGTCAAAACCACATATAGACACATATACACAAATATATATACACACACATATATACACACAAAACACATACACAGACTGGGCCACAGCAATGTGTGGCAGTGGACACCTAGTAAATAAATAAATCAGAAGACTGAGACTTGGAAGAACAGCTAGGAATAAACTAGATAAGGTTGTCAAGTGTAAAGTTTTATATCACTGAATATCCATGTTATTGTAATTATGATTTTTTTTATCATAATGTAAGAGGGATCAGGAGAAGGCTAGGATATGGAACTAGAAGTATAAAGATATAGCATTGAATACTAAAATTCCTGAAGAACCTCCTGATGGTATGAGTTGTTTGGCAGTGGAAAATGCTGCCTGGAAGAGTGGTGGAGTCTCCCTCCTCTGGAGGTTTTTTTAACAGAGGCTGGATGGCCATCTGTTGGGAGTGGTTTGATTGTCCTTGCATGGCAGAAGGGGGTTGTAATGAATGGCCTTGGCAGTCTCTTCCAACTATGAGATTCTATTATTCTAAAGTTAAGATTGCCCATGCCACTGTATTTCCAATTTCTATGTACTGCGGTGAAAGTGGGACAGCGACAAAATCTGTCAACTTATTTGAAATGTAGAGCTGGAAGAGACTTCTACAGATACTGTGGACTCCTAACCCGACCAATAAATAGGTCATTTAGAGGGCCGATTCTTACCAATGAGCATAATGCACACATACCTTTCAAGGCAGTGCTCTTGCCCTGAGATTCTTCCCCTTTGGAATGAGGACCAGAGCAGCTTACATGGGATATGGTAAATTATGCTTTAGGAGGAAAAGCAGTCTCCATATTTTATACACCTTTTATGTATTTCCCACATCAAATTGTATGGCATGGAACGATTCCAAATATTTATTTATTTATTTCAAATATTTGTGCCCCGCCCTTCTCTACCCCCAAAGGGGGACTCTGGGCGGCTTACAGCTGGCAACAATTCAGTGCCCCATAAATACAACAGATAAAACAACAGTTAAGGTAAAGGTTGTCCCCTGACATTAAGTCCAGTCATGTCTGACTCTGGGGTGTGGTGCTCATCTCCATTTCTAAGCCGAAGAGTCGGCGTTGTCCATAGACACCTCCAAGGTCATGTGGCCAGCATGACTGCATGGAGCCCCGTTACCTTCCCGCCGGAGCGGTACCTATTGATCTATACACATTTGCATGTTTTCGAACTGCTAGGTTGGCAGAAGCTAGGGCTGACAGCGGAAACTCATGCCACTCCCCGGAATCGAACCTGCAACCTTTCGGCCAACAAGCTCAGCAGCTCAGTGCTTTAACCCATTGCACCACCGGGGGCTCCAAAAACAACAGTTGCATAATAAGTAAAGAATAAATTAGATTAAAAACCATTTAAAATAGTACAAATAGTCCGAGTTCAACACCTCCCCATATGGACATTGTTCTATCAGTTGATCCCTGTGGATGCTCGTTTCTGCAACTTTTCCATCTCTACAATGTCATTTTTTGACATTTCTTCTAAGTGCACAATATTCTAGATTCAATTAGCATAAAGGCAGAATGGAATAGCAGTGGTTTTATTTTCAAAACTTCTAACGATATCCAATTTAGATATTGTATTTTTTTAAATGGTTTTTCTTTCATAGAGAAAGATTAAAAGTTCTTTGTACAGCGATGAGCAAATTGCTTAAAGTCCTTGTCTGACCAAATCTGAAGAATCTCAATGGCTGCAGGGAGTCAAAGATCAATGACAGAGCGTTGGGGGGATCACTTAAGCCTGGCTCCAGGATAGGGGCTTAAAGCCTGCAATACACCAGTCTGAATTCTCAGCCTGCAGCCTGACATGAAGGAGACGGTGACCTACTTTACAGCTGGAACGGAAATCTCACCCACCTTAAAAGCAGGGCTATAAATGTAACACGCAGACGGTGCAATAATAAAGGAACAAAAAGCACCTTGTTCATTTTGAGCAAGAATCAAATGCTCACCTAATGATAACTCGATACTGTCTACACATACCCTGCAGAGTTGCCCCCTTCTCCCTGCTGATTCCTTTATAAAGATTCTACTTTGCGTATATAATTTAAATAGGAAGATATTCTACCAAAAATTGTCAACTTTGATCCAAGCTTTAAGAATGGGGAAGAAAAAAAATCCTACAAAGCAGATGCTGCTGAATTTAAACAGCAATGCTTAATAAAATAGGTTGTCCTCTATTTAAAGCTGCTTTGATGGGACTTGGGAGTTGAGATATGGATTTCCATTTCCAAATTGACCCCATCCAGCATAGCCAGTAATTAGAAGCGTTTTTCCCCATGTCAGGAGCGACTTGAGAAACTGCAAGTAGCTTCTGGTGTGAGAGAATTGGCTGTCTGCAAGGATGTTGTCCAGGGGACGCCCGGATGTTTTGATGTTTTACCACCCTTGTAGGAGGCTTCCCTGATGTCCCTGCATGGGGAGCTGGAGCTGATAGAGGGAGCTCAGCCGCACTCTACCAGGATTCGAACCTCCAACCTGTCAGTCTTCAGTCCTGCTGGCACAGGGGTTTAACTCACTGCTCCACTGGGGGCTCCTATTAGAAGCATAGGATGCACCTACACTGTAGAATTAATGCAGTTTGATACTGCTTTAACTGCCATGCCTCAGTGTTACGGAATCCTGAGAGCTGTAGTTTGGTGAGGCACAAGACGTTTTTGGCAGAGGAGGCTAAGAACCTTGTAAAACTATTCATGGTTTCATAGCGTTGAGCCATCGCAGTTAAAGTGGTGTAAAACAGCATTCATTCTGCAGTGTAGATGCACCCTCAGTTTAGCAAAAAAGCTGAAGACAAAGGGAGAAAGTGAAAGGATGACAAAGAAACTGATGCTTTTAAAAAACAATTGATAAAGTGAGACAACAGAATTAAATAGGCCAGCTGTGACAATAAAAGCAAAAATTGGTGGAGTTAATTATACCTAACAATTGGGAAAGATTTTTTATGGTTTCATGGAGTGTTTAGCCCAATGGAAGTAACAGAATCAGCCAGGCTTTGAAGCTGCAAGGCCATTAAAAGCTAATCATGGTGGCCAATTGCAACATTTGCACCTGCCTCAAACAGACATGAGTTCTTCCACCCTGGACATGCCACAGATATATTAACCCCATTTTCCTAGCCTGCAACAGATGCTAAATGATCAGCATTTAATGGCCTAGCAGTTTCAAGGTGTGGCTTCTTACTGCCTGGGGGGTAGTATCAAAAATCTGGCTACCAGTATTTAAAAAAACCCTCTAAAATCATAATAGGAAATAAAGGAGTAAAAAAGGGGAAATCCAGACAAGAAATATTCAGGGCTTGTTCTCGGTCTTGCAGCTCTTCTGATGTCTGAGGTGGAGTATCCATTGGCCTGTAGAGCCCAGTTGAGGTGGTTCAGTTCATCTTGGAGGAGGTGGGGTTTGCAGATTCTTTTTGCACGGTCTGCCAAGGCTTTAATGGTGCTTCTTTTTTGACTTGGGTGATGGTTGGAGTTTTTATGTAGATATCTATCTGTGTGTGTGGGTTTTCTGTAAATGGTGTGACCCAATTGTTGATCTGGTTTGCGGATGACTAGGACATCAGAAGAGCTGCAAGACCGAGAACGCCACAAGAATAAAGACAAAGATCCACCCAGAGGAAAAATGTTCCTGCCATACATCAAGGGAACCACTGACCGCATAGGGAAGCTGATGAGGAAACACAACATACAAACAATCTATCTACAGACCCACCAAGAAAATCCAACAAATGCTCCGTTCAGCAAAGGACAAGAGGGATCCTCTCGCTTCTGCAGGAGTCTACCGTGTACCATGCAGCTGTGGACAAGTCTACATAGGGACCACCAAACGCAGCTTTGCCCAAACATGAATCAAGGAACATGAAAGGCACTGCAGACTACTTCAACCAGAGAAGTCAGCCATAGCAGAGCAACCTGGACACGGCATATTATTTGAGAACACAGAAATGCTGGACCACTCTCACAACCACCATGTCAGGCTACACAGAGAAGCCATTGAAATCCACAAGAAGCATGTGGACAATTTCAACAGAAAGGAAGAGACCATGAAAATGAACAAAATCTGGCTACCAGTATTTAAAAAACTCTAAAATTACAACAGCACAACAACAGAGAGGAAACAAACAAGGACATCTAATCACCTCTCAACAAAAGTTTGCTCCAGGCACTGTCAGGCCATTATATGCTAATCAAGGTGGTCAGTTGAAACATTCACACCTAGCTCCAGCAGACAAGAGTCCTTTGTCCCACCCTGGTCATTCCACAGATATATAAACCCTTTTTCCTAGTTCCAACAGACCTCACTACCTCTGAGGATGCTTGCCATAGATGCAGGCGAAACGTCAGGAGAGAATGCCTCTAGACCATGGCCATACAGCCCGAAAAAATCTACAACAACCCAGTGATTCCGGCCATGAAAGCCTTCGACAATACAATAGTTACCTATATTTACATACTTTCTAATTGTTAAATAATGTTTAAATGTCAATTTTTCCCATTTTAATTTTATTTTAGCTCTGTATTCCTAATGTCCTGAGTAGCTTCAACACCTGCTAAAGCGACTCAGAACAAAAACAGCTCGAAACTATTGTATAGTTTCGGAAAGCTCTGCCTCTAACTGCGCATGCGCCTGGATTGCTGTGCTCTTTTCAGGCTGTATGGCCATGTTCCAGTAGCATTCTTTTCCGCGCATGCGCTGTCTTCTTCTCCAGTACGGCGGAAGTGACTTTGGAGTCTTATCTGGGGGACGCCTTAACGTGAGGGACGGAAATAGAGAGGCGGAGGGAGGCGGAAGCAGGGGGACCGACCGGAAGTGGGCAGAGGGGAGAGGCTTGCTGCACCTGCGAGGAAGGTGGAGCGAAGAGGCGAGCCTGAGTGAAGGTGGCTGAAGCGGGGCCACGAAAATAGCTTTCCCGTGAGCGATTCCTGGCCGGGGCACCCTGCGGACAAGGCCCCCCCTTCAACAAGAGCCACGGCCGAAAGGGTCCCATCACGCCCGACCACCTCTTCGACGACCACCACAACCACCATGGCGGAGTCTGCGGCCAGCGTGGGATCCACCGCGACTCTGACCGAGACGGAGGTGACCGAGCCGGTGAGAAGCGAGGCTGGGCTTGGTGAAGGCCTGGTGTGGCCCTTGTGCCACTGCCATAGCAACCATGGTGATGGTGCTGATGGAGGAAGAGGAGGGGGGGGGGAGGCTGTGCTGCGGTTGTTATAGCAACCAGTGGGTCGTGAGAAGGAACTCTTTCTCCCCTGAGAAGGGAGGAGGAGAAGGAGGAGGAGGAGGATGATGATGATGGTGACAGCCGCCAGGTGGGCCTTCCCATTGAAGGCTGCCACTGCCAACGCACTGTGAGGCATGCTTGCTCCATGAAGCGCCCACGTTCACAGGTAAAAAGGGGCTGGAGAGCTTTGAGAGGGAAGCAAAGGAAACCTCCTGAGCTCATATCCCAAGCATGGGCAAACTTATTTATTTGTTTACGACATTGATATGCTGCCCTTCTCACTCCAAAGGGGACTCAGAACAGCTTACAAGTTATATGTAAATACAATATATTATATTGTGAGGTGGATCTGTAATTGGTTAAATGGACGAACCCAGAGGGTGATTCTCCCCAATGCTTTCTCTTCATCCTGGAAAGAAGTGACAAGCGGAGTACCGCAGGGTTCCGTCCTGGGCCCGGTCCTGTTCAACATCTTTATTAATGACTTAGATGAAGGGCTAGAAGGCAGGATCATCAAGTTTGCAGACGACACCAAATTGGGAGGGAGAGCCAATACTCCAGAGGACAGGAGCAGGATTCAAAACGATCTTGACAGATTAGAGAGATGGGCCAAAACTAACAAAATGAAGTTCAACAGGGACAAATGCAAGATACTCCACTTTGGCAGGAAAAACAAAATGCAAAGATACAGAATGGGGGACAATGCCTGGCTCGAGAGCAATACGTGTGAAAAAGATCTTGGAGTCCTCGTGGACAACAAGTTAAACATGAGCCAACAATGTGATGTGGCGGCAAAAAAAGCCAATGGGATTTTGGCCTGCATCAATAGGAGCCTAGTGTCTAGATCCAGGGAAGTCATGCTCCCCATGCTCTATTCCTCTTTGGTTAGACCACACCTGGAATATTGTGTCCAATTCTGGGCACCACAATTCAAGAGAGATATTGACAAGCTGGAATGTGTCCAGAGGAGGGCGACTAAAATGATCAAGGGTCTGGAGAACAAGCCATATGAGGAGCGGCTTAAAGAGCTGGGCATGTTTAGCCTGAAGAAGAGAAGGCTGAGAGGAGACATGATAGCCATGTATAAATATGTGAGAGGAAGCCACAGGGATGAGGGAGCAAGCTTGTTTTCTGCTTCCTTGGAGACTAGGACGCGGAACAATGGCTTCAAACTACAAGAAAGGAGATTCCATCTGAACATGAGGAAGAACTTCCTGACTGTGAGAGCTGTTCAGCAGTGGAACTCTCTGCCCCAGAGTGTGGTGCAGGCTCCTTCTTTGGAAGCTTTTAAACAGAGGCTGGATGGCCATCTGTCAGGGGTGATTTGAATGCAATATTCCTGCTTCTTGGCAGGGGGTTGGACTGGATGGCCCATGAGGTCTCTTCCAACTCTTTGATTCTATGATTCTATTAACATATTATTATTATTATTTCAGTCATTTCTACCCTGCCCTTCTCACCCCCTAGGGGGGACTCAGGGCGGCTTACATCCAGCACAATTCGATGCCAACAGTTACAATAAAATGCAATAGCAATAACACAATAGATTAAAAACAAACAATTAATACAGTACAATACAATACAATATCAACTAAAAACCGCTCTACAGCTCGCGTTCATCGAGTTTTAAAATCCGTCAATCCATTTAGCATTGCCATAGTCCTTTCCAACTCTAGTCATCGTTACCTTGTTAATCTGCCAGATTACCCAAATGCCTGGTCCCATATCCATGTCTTCAGCTTCCTTGTGTTGACAACCTGATTTCTCCAGGGAGTGAATTCCACAGGCAAGGAGCCACCACTGAGAAGGTCCTGTCCCTCGTCCCCACCAGCCTCACTTGTGATAAAGGTGGGGCCGAGAGCAGGGCCTCCCCAGAAGATCTTAAACTCCATGGTGGGACATAGAAGGAGTTACGTTCAGACAAGTACACTGGGCCGGAGCCGTATAGCACAATATTAGTAACATACATTCTCATATTGTACTACATCAGTATACTGTAATATTATTCATAATATTACAAGCAATATGAAATACACAATTATTATATTGTATTATTATTACTTTTGTATTATTGTATTATTATTATGGAGCCCCCAGTGGTGCAGTGGATTAAAGTGCTGACTTGCTGAGCTTGTTGACCAAAAGGTCGCAAGTTCGAATCCGGGGAGCGGCGTGAGCTTCCACTGTCAGCCCCAGCTTCTGCCAACCTAGCAGTTCAAAAACATACAAATGTGAGTAGATCAATATATACCAGTGGAAAGGTAACGGCGCTTCATGGAGTCATGCTGGCCACATGAACTTGGAGGAGTCTAGGGACAACGGCAGCTATTTGGCTTAGAAATGGAGATGAGCACCAACCCCCAGAGTCGGACACGACTGGACTTAATGTCAGAGGAAAATCTTCACCTTACACTAACAGCAACTCTTTCAATGTACAGTGGACTCTCAATTAACCGGGATCCATGGGGATTAGTAGATGCTGGATAAACGTAGTTTCTGGTTGCTTGAGGGTTCCTATTAAAAATAGGTCTATTAAAAAAACTGGACTTCATGTCAGGGAAAACCTTTACCTATTATTATTGGTATTATTATATTGTATTACAATATAATATTATTAATGATATTATATGTGTATACAATATATCAAACTTTTTGAACAGAGGGCCAGGTCACAGTCCCTCAAACTGTTGGAGGGCCGGATTATAATTTAAAAAAAACATGAATGAGTTCCTATGTACACTGCACATATCTTATTTGTAGTGCAAAAAAACAAACAAAAAAACACTTAAAAACAATAAAATAATTAAAATGAAAAACAATTTCAACAAATTTAAAATTATTAGTATTTCAATGGGAAGTGTGGACCCACTTTTGGCTGATAAGATAGGGTTGTTGTTGTTGTTGTTGTTGTTGTTGTTGTGTGCTTTCAAGTCGTTTCAGACTTAGGTTGACCCTGAGCGAGGGCCGGGTAAATGACCGTAGAGGGCCATATCCAGCCCTCGGGCCTTAGTTTGAGGACCTCTTCAATATATTATATTATTACCACAGCACAATATTAGTATTATATTGTACTATACCACTATACTGTAATCTTATTAGTAATATTACATGTAATATAAAAGATATAATTCTTATATTTTTATTATTATATTGTATTACATTATAATATTACCAATATTATATGTGTATACAATATATTATATTATTACCACAGCACATCAGTAATATATTAATACTATAAAGTGCAAGTTCGAATAGCAGTAAAAGTGCAACAGCTCTTGGTCTGCAGCCTTTTGCTCCAAAATCTTATGAATAAAGGTCTCTAGAATCCATAGATTTGTAGTATATAAAATAAGTCTAAGGTGAAGGCACTTTCCCCCTCCCAAAGTAGCCCAGGCCCATAGACCAGTCTTCCTAAGTCGTCATCAAATATGGCGGGTGTTGAGGGAGCCACAATGGAGGACGGATCTGAATGCAGCCGGTGGTGATGGTACGGCCAAGAGGTAGGTGTAAAATGGTCATAGGGAACCTGTCAGTGTGATAAACCTCCGAAAGATTCACAAGACCAGCAAGAGGGTATCTGAACAATCAGGCACTGGAGTGATGGAGCAGGCAGGGGTAATCACAGCCGAGAGCAGGAACAGCAATAGCAGATGGCGACCATGTTGGCTGAGATAAGCGGGAGGCTTCCAGTAATGATGAAGCCTCTAATATCAGCAGTGGTGGCAGCGATCTCCGAGGCTGTGGCAGCAATGATATGACAGCACCTGGGATGGAAAAAACCCTCAGGAGTCACCGGTGCCGATGTCAGGGCACTGATGAGTTTTTCATAAAGCCAGCCGCAACAACAAGGCAAGCTCCAGTCCCAAATGGCCAGCCATGGATGATGGTCTTTAGGCCCCTCAAGGCGGTGAGAAATGGTAATTGGGACCCAAGCTAGTCCCAATGGTGCCTACATTAATGGTGGTAAGTCAGAGACTAGCAGTGACCAGTGGCAGGAGGAAATGGCGGCAGATAATTGTGCCGGCTACAGTAGGTCAGGTCTTTAAGAAGGGAGGGAGCGTGTTTCAGCCACGTTGAAATGGCAGGGCTCAACCTCTTCACCCTTGGTCTTCACCCTTTCTTGCCAAAAACTGTACGAATCTTGCCCCAAACAGACAAGAGTTCTTTCTCCCACCCTGGACATTCCACATATATATAAACCCCATTTTCCTAGTTTCCAACAGACCGCAGAACCTCTGAGGATGCCTGCCATAGATGCAGGCAAAACATCAGGAGGGAATACTTCTGCAACATGTCCATACAGCCCGGAAAACTCACAACAACCCACGTTTGGAAAGGCATTACTTTGTTAGGGATCATAACCTTTTGGAAAGTATGATCTTCTTGACAAGAGTTTAACACTCGCTTAGTGGTAAATATCCACTAGTATTCATGCAAGGCACTGGCTTCTCAGCTGTTAGACTGATATACCTAGGTATCTCTTTGAGTTGTTAGGAACAAAGATATGCCAATACATCATAAAAACAGCAGTATCAGAAGTGCCCCAAAAATCTACTTTCCCTTAAAACATTTTGGTTTAAATCATGCCACACCTGGAATATTGTGTTCAATTCTGGGCACTAGAATTGATGGGAAATGTTGACAAACTGGAATGTGTCCAGAGGAGGGTGACTAAAATAATCAAGGGTCTGGAGAACAAGTCCTCTTAAAGAGCTGGGCTGTTTAGCTTGCAAAAGAGAAGGCTGAGAGGAGACATGATGCTGGCCATGTATAAATATGTGAGGGGAAGTCATAGGAGAGAGCAAGCTTGTTTTCTGCTGCCCTGGAGACTAGGACACGGAACAATGGCTTCACACGGCAGGAA